AAACAATACAGTCATAACTTTTCAAAAAATGAAAACAAAGAACTTTTTTCGAAATTTTCAACCTATATTCGACTACTTTGCGCTATCGTTTATTATATTCCATTCATTCAGAACGTACGAAAGAGATTACATAAAAAAAATTTAGGATGACTCGATAATATTTACTTTATTTGCTTGTTATAAATTCATGTAAACAAGGAAAATATTCAAATCAAGATAGCGCAACAAATGTTTTATTTTTAAAAATAGAAATTCAAAACTTAAAGAATAATTTATAAATACCGAAAGAAAATGCGTTAAATCCGTTTTTAAATACGTCTGGATTTTTGAGATAGGCTAAGAAATGCTCTAATTGAATACTATGAATAAAAATATCCAATTATTATTCATACAGAACACAAACTAAAAAAATTATTTATGGTCCATAAATATGCAAATATGAATTATTAAACAATAGCTTTTTTCTTTACACAAATTTTGGATATCGTGTCAGAAGTATATATGAAGATGAAGCATTATTTGAAATACCTAAAGTGCTTTCAAATGAAGCTAGCTTTCAATAGGCTCAGTTTTATATATTTTTTTGTTACCTAAAGTGTGGTTTTACATAGATTCGTAACTAATTAAAATTGAATTAAAACCACTATATTTGTTTGTTTGTATATTTTACAATAAAGACAGTCCCTATTGAATTAAACAGTCATTGATTTCTCTGCAGAGATATTTCTAAACTGTTTAAAAAGATTTATCGATAACAGGGCACGAAATTAATTAATTGAATTTAAAAAGATTTCAGATAAAGAATGCATTTAAAATAAATCATCAAGAATAATACGAAAAATTATACATTATTTTGCTTTTACAGATAGTCCTTAGTTCCCTTAATGCCCTAAATATAATGAAATTAGAAGGAAGTTAAGCATTGATAATAGTCCCAATGAAACCACTCTAGTGAGATTCTGCAAAAATATTGAGTTTTCAAATTGTAATTCTATAAATTTTTTTTTTTGTAAGTTGCTAATAATCTATGTAATGCGACGTTAAGCTTATTAAATAAAAAAAAAAATTAATTTCCCTAAATTCCTTATCGTCTAACAACTCTTTTGAAACCTAATCATTTGCCTCTTATATCTGATCTGTGTGTATTTTAACAAGAATTTGTTGTCAAATTTCAGATGATTCAACAAAATATATAGCAACAATACTATATACAGAAGGTACTTATATCAGTTGGAACAGAAATAAATGACGAATAATAATGATTGGCAAATTTGGATAGTGGATATTAGGAACGATAATCTTGCAATAGCAATTAAAACGAATTTTGGAATTACATCCTCAAAAGAATAAATTTGCTAGACTAACAATAATCAGAATGGCGATGATTAAGGTCTATAAAAATGGCAGAAACAAAAGCTTAATTATTCAATGGCTCATAGATTAGATTATAATTTAATATAATTATATGTGTAGAATTTAAACGTATGTTATATTTAATAATAATGATTATATTTACTTGAATTTTATTAATTTATATAATAATTTATTTAATTTTTATCACTTTTTATGATTTTATTACATGTAGCTTAAGTAATTATCTAGATTAATCAACATGTTTTGTAGACTCGTTTAATCCTATTTTTATGTATTTTATTTATATCATATTGTATTTGTATGTATTATATTATCATACTATAATATTTTTATTTGAACTTGTATGTATAATTAAAAGCGAATGATATGTTAAAAGTTTCTTTACTTCTTAACAAATAAAATTCTTAGAATTGTATATTTTTTAGAACATTTCGGCACGGTTGAACGCGATCTTAGTATTTGATTTAATGATATTTTCCAATTATCTCAATTAATATTATTCTACTCGAAAAAATTTATTAAAAATTCCAAAAAGTAAAATTTAATTCTAGAAATTTTCTCTAAATTGGAAATGTTACACAAATAAAGAGTTGAAATGTTACACAACTTGTGCTCTATCAAGGATTCGTAATTCTTTAATGAATATGGCAAGGATTTCAGAGTACTTTACAGAGTAAAATTCGAGAAAAAATTAGAATGATTTTAAACTTTGAACTATTAAAATATATTTGAACTCGAACTTTGTAACTTTTTAACAAATAGAACTGTTAGAATCTCTTGAATTCATTTAGAGAGACAAGAATAAACTTTCATTGAAATATGAACTTTATTTTTAATTTAAGATAGAATTTCAATTAACAATATAACTTTATAATAAATTAATTGTATTATTATATATCATAGATCCACGAATAGATTGGAATTATTTTTTCCACATATGGGAGATTAAGAATCATAGTGATATAAATTATAATGGAAATTAGTTTGAGAAATTATAATTTTTATAAAAGTTCAAATTCAACTAATGTAATTTTTTATTTTTGCAGAATTATATTTTTAAAATAATTAATAATATTATTTTTCTTGACAAGAAAAATTTGTCAAACTCCATTTGGAAACTCCAAAAATTATGAAATTTTATATATAAGTAGAATAAAATATCTAATAAAACTCTCTCATTCGGTTTTAAGAGATGAAATCACGTTCTAAAGAAAATTTAAAATTTTCTTTTTAATGAAATATTTTTAATATGTGTTTATGATTTAAATTAATATAATTTTATGTAAATATTAAAAAAATATTGTAAAAAAATTTTTGCATTGTTTTATTATATGTATTTATCGAATCCTATTAAAAATTTTTGAAAATTTTATTTAATTTTTGAGATACCAGCATCCTTCCTTAAAAATTTTTTTTTTATTATATATGCTGAAATATCCTCTTTCCAAATCTAAATTTATATCTTAAATATTTTTAATATATAAAAAGCATTATTGTCAAATTGAAAAATTTTTAACAGCGTTTCTTAATAAGCTGATTTTTCATCTCTCATTCTTCGTAAAAATGTTTAAAATATTCATCGTAAATATTGCATCAATATTGGAATCATGCGATTCCGCGTAATAAAATAATAATAATAATAATAATAATTAATACTATTCATTTAAAAGATGTTTAATCAGAATATAATTACTGATCAATTGTTTATTATAATTGATCGAAATAATCACATAAATCGAATTGCTTAACATGGAAAATAAACATATAAATAAATAATTGAAATAAAACAAACAATAATTTCAAAATATTGATGATTTATCTTATTGACAGAGTGTTATCTATTGACAGAATAAAAATTTATTTATTTATTTATTTATTTTTTGTCTCTTAATGAAAATAAATTCAAAAATAACTTATATATTATAAATCATTTTGTTATTTTAAAAAAATTAATGTATGTTTCATTTTAAAAAGAATTCGATTTAATTTTAGAGTTATTTTCATCAAGATAATTGTAAATAAAAACATATTATTAAAAAATTAAAATAAAAATTATATAATTTTCTTTTTTTTTGTATATTATAAATCCTTTAAGAAACTGTTATCATTAAAATTTTTATCTTCATTCAGATTTTTTTATTAATTCTTCTATTAAACAATATTTTTCTCAATATTTTTTTTCAATATCCTCAATATGCTGGCAAAATTTTTCTCATGAAATTTTGTGAAATTTTATTTATGCTTGTTTTATAACATTTTTTAATTTAGGAAATATTCCAGTATCATTTGATTTTTCTTTTAATTTTCGTCGAAATTAACTTTAATGATTTAATTTGCATATATATGACGGTAATTTTATTTAAATTTCAATTTTAAAATTTTATCGATTTTATATATTTCTTCTTATCTTAATTGCAATGTTATATTTTAGCAATTATTAGCGATATTTTGGTATATTTGATAGGAATTTTATTAATTTGAACTACATTATATCTATGATCATAATAGTTGGCGATATTTGGTATTAATTTTTCTCTTTTATACTTTTTAAAATTTGTAGAATCCATTTATAGAATTTATGTTTTTAGGAATTTCGTGTTTTTAGCTTTGAAAATCAAATTTGCATTTTTTATAAATCCGTTCTTTCTATTATATTCTATTATATTCGTATAACGAATCATTAACTCCACAAATTCGAAATGAGCGATTTTATTATATTTATCAGATAATATGCTTAAATTCATATTAAATAAATTTATTAAATAAAAATTAATCTATTTTTATTAATCATGCAACATAACTGAATATTAAATTATTCATAATTAATTATAAATATAATTAATTAATTATAAATATAACTTACAATTATGAATGTCTTATTTTTTTTTTTTTTTTTTTTTT